TCCCCTCAGGAAGCTGCCCGTGATGTGGCCTGTGTGGGCCGGGGGGGGTTGGAACTCCATAATCTTTAAGATCCCTTCCAACCTAAACCATTCCGCCATCCTATGACATCACTCGGCGCTGAAGGTGCCTTCCTTCTCCATGAGATGGTCTTGAGCCGTTTGCGTTGAGAGCGGGGAGGAACCCGGAGAAACGCCGGCTGGGCTGTGGTTGGGGAAAGCCCTCAAGGGTTTGTCCGGCGAGTCCTCCTCCCCTGGGCCAATTAACACGGCGCTAATGAGGTGGGGGAGTGGAGCTGTGGTGTGTGAGGGGAGTCGGTATCTTCCACCGGTGTGCTTTGTTGGAGGTTGGAGAAGACCTCTCCTTTCCCCTGAGCAGCAAGCAAGTGGAAGTTAGGGGTGACATCACTTCCATTGCGTACTTTTTATTGTTTCTTTCTTCCAAACGCGGTCAAAGTCAGAATTTTGCTTTTGGATGTGGATCAGTTCTAGAGCGGAGCAGGCTCGGGCTGTTTGTCAAGACCCTCAAGAGTCTGTGGGGAGAAGGAGGACAAAGGAAGGAAGATGAAGCATGGGGTCACCTTCCGGAGGTTTTGTGGAGGGGAGGTCAGTTAAAGCTTGACGATGGAAGCGTCTGATACCACAGGTGCTTACCAGCTGCCTTTGTGGTGTCTTCCTGGGGCAAAAATCCTACTTGTGAAGCTCCGCTCACTGAGTCGCAGGTCTTTGCGATCTGGAGCTGTCTGGATCCACCTACCTAGGGATAACCTGGGATCTTGTGCTTAAGCAGACTCACCTGTCTGGTGGAGGCTGGGCGGAGTGGACATATGTCATTTTTCTTTTCAGGAATTTTACAAGAAGGGCTTCATTTCTTTATAAAAAAAAAAACAAAACCTTCTCAAACTACCTGGTGTGTATGTTACAGATAGAAAGTGTGTTGGATCCGAGCAGGAGTTGTGCAAACATTGCATTTGTTTTGCTGAACACTTAATTGCCAGCTGCAAAGCTACCTCTAGTGCTGCACGTTCCACTAAACATCTCTCATCCATCCTATAAAATTAAATCAAGCTAAATTATTATGTTTCATCAAACTGTGCAGGGGAATGTGTGCAGTGATACCTATTTTGTGTGCTTGGCTAGATCTTTTTTTCCTTAACGTCACAGTTTACCTTCGGGGTTGATGGATGTTGATGCTCATGTTAGGAGAAAGTGGTATCTCAGCATACTGCTGCTGGGTCCATGAGGTGCTCTGGAAGTCTGTGTTGACTCTGGAGCTGGTGAAACTTGCCAGCAGGAGTCATGGTGAAGATGGGCAGAGCCAAAGGTAGTTGCAGAGTTAGCGCTTTAGTACATTATGCTGCTGAATAAGGCAGCTGAGACCTCCAGAAATACCCAACAGCGCATTATTTCTCTTACAGTCATGTGGAGGCTGGGTATTATACAACCACAGAGTGGCAGGGGTTGGAAGGGACCTCTAGAGATCGTCTCGTCCAATCCCCCTTCCAAAACAGGGCCACCTAGAGCAGGTTGGACAGGAATGCGTCCAGGCGGGTTTGGGGTATCTCCAGAGAAGGAGACTCCACAGCCTCTCTGGGCAGCCTGTGCCAGTGCTCTGCCACCCTCAAAGTAAAGAATTTTTTCCTCATGTTGATAAGGAATTTCCCGTGTTCCAGTTTGTGCCCGTTGCCCCTTGTCCTGTCGCTGGCACCACTGAAAAGAGTCTGGCCCCATTCTCTTGCCACCTGCCCTTTAGATATTGATGAGCGTCAATGATAAGTATTGACGTCTCCATCATCCTCCATTGCTCAGCTTATAAGGATTTATTTTGCTGCTGGCAGTAGCAGTGACCGTCAGCTGGGTCTGAGCCAGCTCGGGCTGTGAACCATCTGGCTCCAAATGTGACCTGTCACACTGTGGAGTCTAATGGAGGACTGTTCTCGCCACCGTGGCGACATGAGGGTGCATGTGTGGTTCTTGGTGCTGCCATGGGGTGGGTGCTCTGGCTGAGCTGGAAGGGGCATCTGCTTTTCTGGTCTATCGGGAGGCTCTGGGAAAGTGGTGGTACAGAAGATGGAAGCTCTCCCAGGAAACTCGGGCTACCAAACTTCAGGAGCTGAAGTAGCTCAGCAGTTTGCTTGTGGACACTCCTTTTTGCGCTCGGATAAACCCCTGTCTATGCAGAGACCTTGTTCCTTATACCTAAGATGGGTCTTCTTTGAGCATGTTGGACCTGTGGGAAGATAACGATCTGCCTGCCTGAAGCTCAGTTATTAATAATAAAGTATTTAAGATGGCAATTTGCATTTCAGCAGCACCTTTAATTCACGGCTCTCCAAATGCTTTGCAGACATTGATTAACACAGCCTCACAACAACCCTGTGAGGTAGGTGGATGTGATCATCCCCACCGCTGTGGGGATGATGAGGGCACCAAAGAGAAGGGGCTTGGAGCAATCGTGCTGGGATTTGACCTAGCACTTGGCCATCTACGTCCCGTTAGGCCTCCAGCTTCAGATCATGCTTTTCTAATGCACGGGTTTGACTCAATGTGGGGCTATACCCATTAACGAGCCTGTTGCTGGCTTGCATGGACTATAAAGGCCATTAATCTAAGGCAGTAGTTTATTAGGGAAGTTGATGGTTCCTTGGTGCTTCTTGCTGCTGGAATAATCTGAGGTTTTGAAGGCATATAGAAAACAGAGTTAGATATCAACCATTGAGCATGGCAGGCTGTAACTGGAGAAAGCCCTTAGAACCCAGGTGAGGAAGCTATGTGGGATGCTACTGTAAATGTATTGATCAGAAAGGACATAATAATTTATATAGAAAGTCCACCCTTGCTCTTTCCCCAAGGTTAAAAAAAAAAAATAAAAGAACCTAGAAAGTCACTGCTGATTGTCACGAGCCAGCTTCAAGCTCTGGGTCCTTGGCTTCATAGCACCTGCAAAAGGAACAAAGCATGGTGCGTCAGCAGCCTGTTTGGGCTGGCAAAAGGGGTTAAGAAATGTGTTCCCTCCAACCCAGTCCCAGTGCCAGTTTAGCTTTAAAACAACTTAAAATGATGTTAATTACTTGTGTGGGATGGATCTGGGAGTACTGTTGGGAATGTGCTCTGATATCACCTGCGGAGCAGGAGTGTGGTAAGCTTGGACTAGAGGGGGAGACCTTGACTTCACAAAGGCTGGCTTGTTGACCTCTTCGTTTAATGACAAACCACTCTAGCTCTGATGGCTGGCCCTAGGGGATGGCACATGAGGCAGACATCATGCCTTGAGTTCAGGCAGCTTGGATAAACCTGAGATGGGCATCCAGACTTTTCGCTAGGCTCACTGGAACTAGTTTGGACCTTTGGGACTTTGATGGCAGCTGTTTTTTATTATCTTTCGGAAGGAAAAAGAGAGCAAAGAAATAACTCAAAGGCATGCTCTTATCCAGCAAGATAAATAATCCCCAGCGAACTCTCTAAAAAGCAAGGCTTAAAGGGAAACCTTTTCTGACGGTGGGTAACTCATGCTGTTGTTCATGTTGATGTTCTTCATGGAGATCAGAGTGATGCTGTTCTCCTTCTGGCTTGTGCCTGTCGAGCAGCTGTCAAGAAGAGAAGGCTGCATTAACGACTCTGGAAAATGAGAGAAGGGGGTTTCTTTGCACACAACTGGAGGCAAACAGGCAGGGCTGCACTGGCTGGCACGCGGGACCAGGGCTGGCTTACACCACCCTTTGAGCTGCTGTCCCGGTTCGGGCCCATCCGTAGTGCCAAAGTCCCCATCCCCTGTCTGAACACAGGTTCAGGGGTGTCTCTGGGGAAACAAGCAGCGCATTCAAATTCGGATGCAGCGCTGGTTTGCCCGACAGAAAGCACCATTGTCATCTGTGTCACTACTTGTAGGCAGAATCAAGGAGCAGTTTGGATCTGGTTCCCAGTGACTGCATTACCTGCTAGCCCTGCAGCCATTGCCAGGACTGGAACAAAAGGAAACCTTACCGTGTCCCTCTGTCCTGTGCCCTTGAGTTTATTTGTCATACAAAGGGAGCCCTGGATATTTTTACATCTGATACTGCTGCTCGTGTATTGCCAGCGTCTCTCTTGAGAGAGAGAGTCACAGGTGCCAGGAAGGTGGAATTCCCCTTTCTCCCTACCCTCAGGGCTGGGATGTGGATTTGGTGCCAATGGAGACTGGATGACTTTGGGGATTAGGGTGGCTCGGGGCCACAGTCCGCTGCTCTGATGTGTCCTGCTTCAGTGGCTGCAGATCACTCAGATCATGAGCATTAAGGGTATTTGTGAACCATTGATGTTGATGCAAATTTGGCACCTAAATACTTAGGGATTTTGCTCCCTGTGTCCCTTGCCTCTTTCCGAAGTGGGGTTTATTCCTTTGATAGGAAAATATCAGATGGAAAAGTAGGAGCAACATGTTTTAGTCCCTTCCAGCTCTTGTTTCCTGCTGCTTTCCCACGTGCCACCTCTCTTCTTGAGTAGCAGTGATGGACTATGCGGTTCAGATGGACTGTCCTCCGCTTGGTGCTTCTCTTCCAAAGGTCTCTGGATTGGGGCCCCCTTATCCTGCTCTTGCTAGGTAACAGTAATAGGCGTTATGAAAGATATTTTTGGGCACCTGATCTCATTCACTGAGGCTGCTCTGAGATCCAGAAACCCAGGGTTAGACCTCAAGTCTGTATCTAGGCAAAGACAGACAAGCAAACTGCTTTTGGAAGGTGGTGAGTCTTCACAGATATCAGTGCAGCTTTGAAACGAGGCCCCTAAATATTGAACTTCTACCTTTGTCTTCATCAGGCAGAGGATGAGCTGCTCTGAATGCTCATTTTGGTTTTTTACCAGTCTCAAAGATGTCTTGAAATGCTTCCTTCCACCTAAAAATAACCAAAGCAGCCTCTATTCCTTGCTAAAATTAGTTCTGGAACAAAATAGGCACTTCCAATAAGACATGAGTAGTGTGAGCAGCCTTACCTCTCTGACACCATGGAGGTCCCTGGCTTCTGTTTGTCTGGAGAGAGAAAGGCAGTTGGTGATGTACAGGTGAGAAAACATCACAGCCAAGCAATAAAATAAGTCAGAATTATGTTGTACAGAGTTATAAATGAAATCCAAATGAGGTTAGAGACACCACGGGGGATACTCGAGAGTTGATTAGAGAAAATTCTTCAACTAATGTGACATACAGGCGGGACTGAGCGCTCTGCTGCCTGTTGAGTCACTGCCATCCTTTGGTCTTTTGGCAGTTACCGACTTGCTGTAGAGCAGCTTTGCCCTCTAGTGGGCACTGCTTAGTGGGAAATGGGATTCCTGGGGAAGAGGAGTGTCAAACTCCATGACTTTTGCTGGAAAAGCTGGCCACAGCTGGAAATCTGCACATTTAGCCGCAGCAAACTTGAGAGTGTTTCCTTGTGCGGGTGGGTCTGGGCTGGGGCTCTAAAAGAGGTGGTCACACTACATTCCTGACTCCTGAATCTGCATTCCAATTTGGCTTCAAAACCTCCCCACCGTTTAAGCTTTTTTAAAAGCATCTTTCAGGAATTGCCAGAT